CCAAGCAGCCTCCATGTCTCCAGTGTCTTTTCCCCCACTTGGAGCCGAACCCAGAAGGACATTTCTTCCAACAAAAGGATAGAAAGTTAGAAGCTAACTTCCTAAGTTAGGAGATGATAAAGGGTTAGCAGCCTAGTGAGGAAGCTTTGACATGAAAGCAAAAGCTTTACAGGATTTCAGCCAAGTGAAATCAAAATTGTAGAGCTTCAAATTCACTCGGGTGGGGATTATAGAAGACCGAGTTATTTAAGGCTGCTAAATAATTGATACTCTGAAATGGTGCTGAGACCTTCTTATTCTTTATGTGGCACCTTGACCAATCTGTGTGACCTAATCTTGGAGTACTTCCTGAAATTCTGGATGCTGTAAATTGCTAGGCATTTTTAAACACGATGAGAGGCCATGGACTGATCTACGATGGGCTTCAATAGAAATGAACTGAATTATGGCTGCTTTGCTTAACTTGTCTAGTGATAAAATTCCTGAGTTTCAGTGGTGCAGAATATTGCTTGCTTCTGATAATAACTCTCAACTGGGATTACTCATTTGTTAAGTCTCTTCCTTGTAAAATTACTTCTACTATAGTAGTGTGTCATTCCTTTGACCTTTTAAATCCCCTCTCTTCAGAAGGGGAAGTATGGCTGCTTTTATTGATTGATTTATTGGCCACAAGGCAACTTTGGGCGGCTGATAATAGTAACAATCTATCTAGCCATGTACATTAAAACATAAATAAGTTAAAAACAAACATTGTGAATCATTGCTATTGTTCCAATCATTGGATGCTGTTCCAATCCTTTTTCAGAGTCGCCAGAAACTTACAGTTGTTGTACGTAGATGCGAACTTTATAGCAAGTAAGGACACAATATGGCACAAGAGTGTAGGTCACAACAACCTTCTGTCCATTCGTCTTTCCTTTGTCCCTTAGCATTTCACAGGTAGAAAGATTTTATTTCTTCATATTCCATCCTCAGGCTAACCGTGTATATCCTGTTCATTTAGAAAGAAAAGTTTTTAAGGAATTCTTCTGACAAACGTTTGTTTGCTGTTGTTGTATACCTACTTAATACTTGTGTCAGCGTTCCAAGTATCATGTAGAATTAAATCAGAGTCCAAGGCAAAACGATCCTTAAAGTTC